GGGGCAAGCAGCCCCTCTTTTCTTTTAAGGCGTAGTGTACGACCTTGATAAACTTTTACCAATGTTAGGGATCGTGGGAGGGGGGGGGGGTATCTTCGTGCGCATTGACGGTTACACTAGCTCTGGCACTGCAGCTGTCGTATTTCTTGTTGCAGGAGCTCAGATGATGTTTCCATTGCAAACTTTGCAAAGTATGTAAGCACGGCGGAGAGCGCCCATGACACCGCACGCGGCGACTTGACTCATACACCGCGCTTGACGCTCCTTGTGAGACTAACGAGACTAACTGGCTATTCGGGAACTAAATACACGACGCAATGCATCTTGTTGCGGGCGTTTGTTTTCATGTTCTCAAGCCTCTTGCTCTCACCGGGGAGTCGCCGAGAGCTTGATATGGCGTCAGTCCTCAGTTGGTTCCTATGCACATGCCCCGCCACTCTGACAACGCTGAATACCGTAGGTGACATGACGTAAGATACCACTCCCCCTGGACCGATTTTTCAAAGCTCCATTACTCCACGACCAGGAGGATGCCGAAGGCAAACGATGCGTGTTCGAAAAGCTATCGACGGGACGGTTCCAACTCCGCCATTCTCGGCACCGTCGCTTCTTTCCTCGTCGAGTAATCAAGCTTTGAAAATCGGTCCAGGGGGTGTGATATCTAACGCAACCGACGGTAACCTATCCAGATTTGACGTGATGCGCCATCCTCCGTAAGGTACACAAAGACAACGTTAAGGTTGAAATCAGTTTGATCATTTAACGTTCCGGTCACCTGCCTTTTGCTTTTGCGCCTCGCGGCTTTCTACGGTCATCATGTACGGCAAGTAAATTTGGCGCTCAGCGCCCGGCATGGAGAAGAACACACGCCTCTTCTTACCAAGGCTTTGTATAAAATATTTCTTCTTTCCCTGCCTGGGTCCGCCGTAAACCCCGGCCGGCACGACGTCCTCCTGTCAGCTGTCTCCCTAGCTTGGTCGCAAGAGGAACCACATGCAAAAATAAATTCAACTCACACTTGTCAATAAATTCAATGGAACTTACGCCCGTCCTTGATACACCGCAACGACCCAGAAGAAATCAACCAAAGCCGTTTCGCACTCGCCGCTTTCTCTGTTGTCTCCGGCCGCAACAGAGGTCAACACACCAAATAGAACAAAAAAATATTAAGAAAGAGCGGAGCAACCGAGGACGGCTTTTCGACACCAAACCCTCGATAGAAATACACGACACGGGACAGCTACAGCTAGTAGTAAGAGGAATGGGAAAGCAGGGTCAAAAACACGTTCTGACCTACAACGCCTCTGGTGACAAACGCTGTTGTGTCGCCGTACACCTGCCCTGTCCCCCTTCTCTCTTCTATCCCTCTCCGTCCGTGAAAAAACGCTTGCTGCCAGTCTCTACCTGCTGTACATCATTCACGAGCCGGGCTCTGATTATTCCCTTCTTTTGAGGGTGGTGCCACTCACGAGATAGGTCAGGGCCCAAGGCCGGGCCCAAGTTGCACCCTACAAGGGTCTATATTGAAAGGCATGCATTCCAAAGATCATCCATTCGTCACGCGTGGTTACAACACCGTTTCTGCTTCCTGTTTCGCCAGAAAGATTGAACTTCGAAACAGCCGGTTCAGATTGATGCCCTTCCCGAACGAAAACAGAATAAAATTTTTATCTACTTGGCACGGGGGAAAAAAAAAGAAGGAAGAGAAAACGCTAAAAAAAAGAATGAAATAAGGCGAAAAACGGCCCCTCTTCCTGTGTCTCAATAGCCGAGCAGCCCGCAACATTTGTGAGGAACCGCGCGCGACATTTGCACCACACGGTTCGGTCGGCAACACAGCTACAAGACAACCCCGCCCACAAGGCACGAATCGCGCCAGCACAAACACAGCGCTACAATACCCTTACCATTTGCTGTACATACTTTGATACGTGTGACGAGAAAAAAGTGTTCGGTCTCTCGCGCGGGATAGGAAAGGGGAGGGGTGATAAGATAGATGTGGTGCCACAAAAATCAACACACATGCACCAACGGCAGCACCGTTCCTCATCTCTCTCGACCACTGGTGTGTGCGCCGTGCGAGCATCAACAGGGCGGTCGGTTCATACGCGCGTAATAGACACATACATTCTCGCCACCATTCATTGCTGTCGGTGTCACGATGCCACTACAAAAAAGATGCCGGCCGCAATTCATCTCGTGATACACGTCGCCGAAACGAAACGGATCATCGGCGGCAACGTGAGCCGCCTGCTCTGCTGGAAACCCAAACCAAGAGTGCCGATCACCCCCCCCCGCACGTT